TCGGGCTGGTGCGGGGGCGGGCAGCGCCAGTAGGGCGATGTGTCGCCCGCTTGCGCCTGGCACGCCGCCGCCAGTCCCGCCCAGCAGAAACGGTACGCATACCTCTTGCCATGGACCTAGATGCGACAAAATATCCCATTTAGGAACAAATTAAAACTACTGAAATTATAGCGCATGGATTACAGACCAGTTAATCCTTAGTTACCTTACCTTCTCGAAACTAAAATACGTATACGTATACCGCTTAGCACAAAATATGTACATATTTATTCCGTAAGGATACTAGATTGATGTTAATTAATGAAAAAAATATCAATGCCGTCAAGAGTATTGTAGTGAACAGTACTTGGCGTGTACCAATACCGAAAAATAAACAATTTGAGGTGAAGTAGTGCTGCAGACTGCAGACTGCAGGTTGCAGACTGCACTACGCGCTCTGTATTGCACGGGCCAGGAGTCAGTTACCTTGGTCATGATGTTCTTGTCGTAATAGTAGCGCAGGGCGCGGGACAACTTGTCGTAGTTCATATTGGGTTTCTGCTTGCGCCGGCCCCAGCGGCGCGCCACCTCGTCCGGGTCGGCCAGTCGGAACTCGCCCTCACCCGGAGCGCCCTCACACACCACACACAATACTTATTGAACGAATAATCGCAAAAGTAATTTTGTCAAATGAAGCATGCTATGATGCTATGTATTTTTGTGTACACTGATTACAAAGTGGTTAGTACGAGAACTTTACACTAAGCGACTGTAAACATTAAATGACTGAGCGTGGCACTAAGTAATACACACAAAGGAAATGCAAAACTGTTCAGACTAAGTATGTTATCCAGATCTCTTCCACTTATAAAGAAGTAATTCCTTTATCCTTTGTAGCGGGATGGTTAGTTGCAATAAAGTGATGATTTAATCAATATAATAGAGCTATTAGCTACCTCCCAGCAGATACCGGGCGCGCCGGCTGCCAGCTCTTCCAGCAGGAACTGCCACAGCTGCACCTGACCGCCCCCCCCGCCCGACGCGCCCGCACCGCCCCGCGAGCACCCGCTCAGCGACGCGTACGGCTCTGCGAATTATAACGGTGATAAATAAGAGTCAAGTGAGATGTGTGCGAACTATAAGAAACTGTTGCCGCCACGTTCGTATTGTGTCATTCGTGCTATGTACGACATAAATATTGCTGCTAAAATATTTGAGGCGCTTGAGATCAGTGACTTTGTCAACTTCGAACTTGCTCCCGGCTTCTTTCGCGGAGAATTAAAAAAATACTTACAAAGTACATGCTTATTTTATGCATATTTAAAATTAGTAGGTATTTAAAATTATGCACATGACTAGTCGAAGACTGCCGATGGAATACGGCAGAGGCACGCACCCGGACAGAGGCGCGGCACCAGCTGCAGCCGGCGGTCCGCGCTCAGCCAAAGCATGGCCTTGTGCACGGCACCGCGCTGCACGCAGCACACTCGTAACGCCGCATTTTTTACACTACACTCATTGATTTTGTTTCACGACACTACGCACTTATGCTACCACTAAGTAGTATCTTTTAATAATTACTCAAATCCGACAATGTATAACAAAATTGAGCCCGAGTACAAAACGTCCGGACGTGGCACCGGAAGCCAGAGAGTGCCGGCTGCCATCGAAGAGGGCGGGGGCAGGGCGGCGCCCCGGCCCGCCCTCGCGCACTCTGTAGAGTCGCGCTGCTGTAAGATGTATAGCACGTTCATTTGATTGTCTCAAATGATAAAGGAATCGTAAAATATTTCTAGCTATGTAATTTTGTTAAGAAAATCTATCCGTGCTTTTTATTTTTTTAGTCTTGCGAACAAAACATTTACACTTTAGACTTGACTAACAGTTGTGTGCCGGTGCCAGTTCGGTTATAAGCAAGGATTGTTTTGAACAATAACTAGTCAAAACATACCGCACTTCACTGCACCTCACCGCATCTCACCGCACCGCACCGCACCGCACCGTGTCACAAGTAAATCAATTTTAGTCGAGAATCCTGTAGATTCTCGCTATAGAAAGCTCTGTGTGATCCCTATGGATCTTTTGGAGCTTAGCGACCGGAGGGAAGCTGCGGGGGGTTGCGAAACAGTATCAGTTATTTGATTTCTTGATACACTCATCTGTGATATGATCTGAGAGGCGACCGGAGACAAGGAGGAGAAAAATGACTTAATTTAGAGTTCAGGCGTTCGAAAGTGTTATAGTGGACCTGTCAGCGACCGCTGATTCCAAATATTTCTATGCGGAGTAATCTTATTAGATAGTAATCCGATATTATAAACAAAATAGAAATGTTATGTCTTACGTCCACTAACTGGTCCTTATTATACTCTATTCCCATAATAATACTCGAATAGGAAGTACGAAAACCTTGTCAGTGTTGTATCAGCTGATTAAATGCTAAAACCGTATGAGTTGAGATTACATTTGTGTTTGGTGAGTGTTGCATAATGCATGGCATGGCACCCCGCCGCGCCCCCGCCGCGCCCCCACGCCGCATACAGCACGGGGCGCAGGCATGGGTCGCGCGTTTATATCGCTTAGAAGTATTTATTTGGTGATTTGATTTAATCTAATGATTCCACGGATGGAAGGGGGCAACATACATTGTAATACTATGATAGTTTCGTTAGAGGACATGCCGACACCGAGATGCAGCACTGACTGAGAACAAGAAAGCAGCATTGAATTGAATATTTCTGTCATATTTATGTACACAAGAACAGAACAGTGAGGCAGAGTAGTACTGTTGATGAAGATGAAGAGTTCAATAATGCGTGAAAACCTCTATATTGCAATTAGCTATTTAAATAATATGTAAGTGAAGGTGTCGGTCGCGTCGCGCCAATGTTTGTAATCAACACATTATCTATCAACTTATCTTACCAAGGTGAACAATGATAATAGACAATTTAAAACATAATTAACTTTTTTTTAAACATAGGAAGTATTTATTGCAAAAATTTATTATCTCACGTAGTCAGTCGTGATTAGATCACACAAAGCTAGTACCAGGAAATGACCACGAGTGTGGCCAGGAAGATCGCGCGACATCCCTCGCGGGAGTTGCGGGACGGCCGCGGCGTGAAGGTGTTTGTTTTGTAGTGATATGACGTTGATGGATGATTTTTATTAGTTATGGAGATAACTGCATGGATCTCACTGAAATTTGGCATAGATGTAGAACATAGTCTGGAAGATGGACTACTAAATTTTTTCCGCGCGGATGGAGTTTGTCATAATTGACGATAACGATACGATGGCGCTTGTCGTATTTATTTGTGCTAGGCTGTTGGGGCGCGGGCGCGGGCGAGGGCGCGGGATAAGGCGAGGGCGCGCGGCTGAGGGCGCGTGAGCGGGCGCGTGAGCGGCGTAGCGACACCGCTATCTCGCATAATCGCGTTCGCGCGACAACTATCTCTGTTTAGTGATGATGAATGCGATTACATATATTATTTATGATCGCGATTCCAAGTATATAATTATGTAGCGCTTCCGATATCAGCGCTTCAGTCACGTAAACAAACATCGCGGATTATTTTATCATAAATGTACCTAAATATCGACTTGTAATAACAATCTAGAAAAATTAATAACCGACGAGACTAGTGAGTGAAAAAGCCGCTGAGGACAGGAAGCTAAAATGAGTTGTTCGTACTAGTACCTACATATGTAATTTACTTATGCATCTGTAAGACAACATTGCCCACTTTTATATCAGAAAATGTTTTTTCGTGTCTGTTTAGTTCACATTGGTACAGTTATAAGATAGCGTAGTGAAAGTTTGTGAAGCGTGTGAATGTTATATGATCGCGATACTATCTTTCGCTATCTTCTGTATTTCAAGTTTATCGCGTAGCTTAAAGTGTATTGTGTGACGTGGCGGCGGCGGGGGGGCGGCGGCGGGGACAGATGCGGGGATGGAGGCGGGAGGCGGCGGCCGAGGCAGGCCCCGCCCCGCCTCTGCGTGGGGCTCCGCCAAATCTCGTCAGTGCTGGCCACTCTACGATCAAATATCTACTGTTAGAAAAATTTGTAGCAACCGTTAATTTAAAGATAAAGTATGTCCCGAGCGTATACAAGATAAAGCATCGAATATTAAACTAAAATAACTAAGTAAAATGGACCATGAAAATGTCCATGTTTTGAGTTTTTAATAAGTACGAGCTTGCTAAGATCAATAATGGAGGACGCGGCTCTCCGAGTTTTGTATCACAAATTCACCCAATTATTACATTAAAAATCGTATAAGCTTTGGGAACAATACAATGTTAAGCTTTACACATATCATCAAAGTATGTACGCAGAAGATGACACCTGTTAATAAGGAAAGGGAAATGATAGAGTCGCGTCAGTGATGCAAAGTGCTACCGTAGCTGGTGGCAATCACCACTTTTGCAGCGCCAACAGTCTAGTGGCTTAGAGTATGAACGTACGACCACATGGTCGTGGGTTCGATTTCTTATTCGACCTTTGTAGAAACCTATGGCTCCGAGCGATCTATGATCCAGTAAAAATCTAGAGGGAATTGAAATTGTTACAAGAAATATTACTTGATATGAACCGAACCGTGCGAGGCCCCCAATGTTTTAATAAATTTAAGATTATAGATTAAGAATTCCTTGTTATTATATAAATTATATAAATACATGTTATGTAATTAGTTACGCGAAGCGAAAATTGCCTTATTAAATAAAAATAAAATGTGCTTGCTGCTCGGGCAGCATTCCGAGTGACTCAGTGGGGAATGTGAAAGCGCGGCGGTTCCCAGGCTGGCGCGGCTCGGAGCGGCTCGGTGCGGCGCGGAGGGGACACGTGCCCGCTGTATACGTGTGTCTAGGACCTGTCCCGTACTGCGACCGCGGCTCATGTTGTCGGTTAGGGCTTCATGTATGAACTTAAACATGCCGCTGTTTGAGAGGAATTACATTAATTATATATACGTATGTAATTAATGTAATTCCTCTCAAACACTCATATAGGTCACTTCCTGAATATTAATTTTCGAGCCCACTCTTATTAATAAAGACTGTAACCGGTTCTAAGTTTTAGTTAACGAAAATAACATATTAAGTTAAAAAAAATAGATGCACTCCGTCGCCTCCAGAATAATATGTATATTCCCGTCGTATGTGAGATCCATTTTATAAATGTTGTAAGTGTTCACAGTTTCTCAATATGAAGGTAACACCGGTACAGCTTAATAATAAAAATAACCGCTGTTATATGGTAACAGTGATTGCAACAGTCAATATTTCTCTCGCTATACTTTCGACTCCCGTCATCAGACAATGGTGTCAATGTTGGGGTCTCGGGCCTGGATGACGGGGGTTATGTGGTCGCCCCGCGCGCACATGACACGTCGCATTGACTTACGAAGAGGCCTGCGTGAGGTTTAATTGTATTCTGGGAGCTTTTCGCCGGTAAGCCGGGGCTCGGTGCGCGGCCCGCATTGACTTGCTAATGCACCCCCGCACACCCGCTGCGACCACCCTACCATTGAAAGGCTTTGTAGTAAACAACAAAACGCTTTTCACTGTTCAAAAATCTCTTTGAAATGTTCAAAAATACTGTTTCTGTTTTTAATGTTCAGATATTACACAAAATTCAAGGGTAAATTAATCGGGTAACAAATTTACATCAGGTGAAGAAAATGAAACACATCATAAAATAGTTAATAAAAAGAACGATAAGTATTTGTTACATTTCACTATAAAAATCTATTATTTATGGTTATCAAAGATTTGCTACGAAGAAAATATCGTAGCGGCTCAGACAAAGGTCTCAAGCATTGTCCAAGTGCTCATATCCTCGCTCACAGAAATAGGTGACTGTCAATAGCCAACACTAATTAATTTAGTAATCACGAAATAAATAAGTGTAGGTATTAAACTTCATAAAAAAAATTATTAATTCGATCGCGAGACGAGTTCCAGTGATAGGGGCCTAGAAAGCAATATTTTGCGAGAGGTGGCGGGGTAGGGGTCGAGGGGCGAGGTCCCGAGGGCAATCGTTCTTTATGTCCGCCGCATCTTCAGCCCCGCGGCGGCGCCCGGCGGCGGCGTCGGCGGTCGGATACAATTGAGGGTGTTCATGTTGATCTTTGCTGTCACTTTGTTATAAAGTGACATCAATTATATTTGAAATTGCGTAATTTTATATTTATCACAGCCCAAAAATGAGAACAGATAATGTAGAGGAATAAAACTGTAATAAGCACAATAGTAGCATAGGCGTAGTTGTGTAGCGGTACTCAGCTATCCCACGTTCACTTTATTCCTATTCGTACTAAATAAAAGTATGTCGTTAGTTAAATTGAGTGTGGTGGTGAGAAGGTTAATAAAACGGCTGGGCGCCGGCGTGGCAGAGCACTCCTGACACCGGCCGACTATTTCACAGCCGCTGCTGCCGAAATGGTCAGTCAATAGGAGTGGTCAGGTGAGGCAGGCGACCTCGTACCGCAGCCCCTCGCCTCCGTACGCTACGGGCTCCGAAACCTCGGGAAACGTGTCAAGGACGGTTGGAACATCGAATATAAGGACTATGTTAGGTAAGGTGGTGTATAGTGCATTTCCCACTTAGGCCAGGGCCGAACTCGCGAGTGGCACGGCCGCCCCGGGCGTGGGAGTGGCGCGCGGCGGCCAATCGCGAGGCGCTACCATAGTTGAGGCCGCCCGACCACAGCATTGTAATTTAACGACTCGAGTAACAGGAAACTCCAAAGTTATTTTGCGGTTTTGCAGAAAAAGTTGCCGACATATCTGCCGCTTTAAATCAAATAAACATTTCCACGAAATAGCTATTATGTATAATACTTTTGTTGTTATTCGCAAGGAAAAGTCAAGGCAACAGAATATTACCTAAAAAGCTAAGGAAGGAATTTTTGTATTTTTGATTTAGGCCCAACAGCGAAAAGTGAAGAAAGAAAAGTGGCTGAAAACCCCAAAACAAATTTTGGGGTTTTCAGCCAATGTATTATTAAAGCTAAAGTAAATAATATTAAAGCACAATGTAAATCAAGAAATCGTCTATTAATTTAAATCTCACGACTACATTTAGATTTTTATAAAAAGAAAATGTCTGTTTTAATGTTTTTTTTCATTATTTTATATTAGACATTTACATTTAGGTATATACCTCACGGCCAGGCAGCGGCAGTGGAGGTGAGGTGAGTCACAAAACGGCTCGCGGCATACATCTGTTGTTACAGATTCGCGAGCTGAAACAATGATAACCTCAAGGCCCCATCGATACGGAACTATGAGTCACGCTTCCTAGTGTAGTGTACTCGTAGTGATTCACTTCCGTCAGCGAGTTGTTAAGATGTTGCAAGACAATGTTAGTCACAATCTCCCTCGCTGGCTCGGCGCGGCTCGGCGCGGCTCGAGCCGGAACTCACCTAACCTAAACGCAGCCGGAAGCCGCGCTCTCCTTTCCGAATTTTATTTCTATAGGGGATATAGGAATTTCTATAGGATACCCAACAAATCTGTGACGTATTTCATCATTACGTACTCACAATTATTATTTTTGTCCCAATTCAATTTTGTGTCCAGAGTGTCTATCACGAATATTTGCGGTATGCGTTTTCATAACGTCATTGACAAAATTTGTAAGTTGTACTTTACCGCGGACAGGACGCTGTACAAATTTAAAACAAATGTTGTCGATGAGGATATTTTCTCGCCTTGTGAGCTACGCCTTGAGAACCCCAAGTAAAGGTTATGGTAAATTTGTGACGTTTTACGTTTATGTTCTTATATTAGGTTACGTAATCCGTGTTCTTCTTTAAAGGGATTTTTTGGAATACCAAAAAAGGAACCTCCGTGCGGTCATCGTGCGTCATTGGCGTGTGTCTACGAAGGGAAGAGTATCAGGGTAACGCCGGGCAGAACGTAGGGCAGTGCTAGAAGCAACAGCGCTGTACCCACACACGTACCTTGGTATAGAAAAAGAACTAACATTTTACGTAGTTTCTTAATCTCACAATTCGGTGAGGCGTCTGTGGGCCGCATTATTTTTACCATTATAGCTCTTAGAAATCGTTCTACATTTTGATGGTTTTGTTTTTTCGTGTTCGTGTTGTATCTAATCAAATTAAATCGCATAAGATAGATTTTATCACAAATTGAATGAATTCATATGTAATATGTTATCATGTCATTCATTCATTATACTATAGATAGATGTTGTATTATCTATCAGTATGTTCCGCTCCACGACCGCGTATCTCATTTCTGGTGAATACTTTATCTGCCCATTTGTGATTACACTGATAACTAAGTATAATAGTGTGCGCGACGGAACTGGGCCTGCAGCGCCGCGGCCGTCCAGCTCGCCGATGCCTCTCTCCCGCATATACCCAATTCCATGGATTCATATACGTACCTAAGTCATTACACGGGCTAGTAACTAAAACAAAAGTCTATTTATAACTGTTACCTACCTTTGTGCAGCCTCGTGTATGCCCTGTATAGAGGCCGCGGGCATAGAGCGGCCGCAAAGCGCGCTCCTCAGAAACTGATAACTGATGTAAATTTACTATCGGTTATCGATTCTATGAACTATATCTTATATACTTGTTTATATATGCGCGACGCGTACCGGGACGCCACCTGGCTCGGATTATATATGTACATATGATTCTACTTAATTCATAAATCTATGCAAATAATATCACCAAAAAAATAACGTCCACTCACTCTGATAAGGCTGTTTTGACGTCAGACTGCGCGTCGCTAGCGCTCGAGGGTTTTGTGATGATAATTTATTTAGCCCTTGGCGATAACGTAAGATGAACAGACTGGCTTGTACTTGAATGACGCACTTCGCCAGTTACCCGTTCTAACGAGCGCTTTTTCAAATACCATTGTAATAATGGCACAGAAATATCGTCGTACGTAACGGGGATTAACAACGGCACATTTCGAAGAAGGAGGATTAGAGCAGTCCAACTAAAGTCATCAGTATTTCATAAAAAATGTCCCTTATAAACGTCTCCCGCAACGAATTCATGTTGTGGCCAAGATTATATGACTGTACTGGATGTGTCAGAAAATTGGCCAATTTTTTATATTATTAAATTGATGAATGGCTAAAAGGCATGTGGTGTTTTTGTTGCGGTGAATCAGCAGCAAGCTCTGGCAGCAGGTGAAGCGCCGGCGGCTGGCCTGCTCTCATCATATGAGATGACTCAAAAATCGTGAGTAACGAAATTCCGCAATCGACGGCCGAACTGTGGCGCCTGTCGCCGGCACCGACTTGTGCCGCATATTTCGTGATATTTGCCACACATAGAAATGTCTCTATATGTGTCCATTGCGCATGCATGCGTAGATGAGGAATGTGGAGGAGGCGAGGCGAGAGAAATTCGTCATCTCAGCCCAGCGCTCTATGTCCCAGGCGTAATGGTCTGTAGCGTACCGCGGCTAAATCTAAAGCGTCTGACTGTAGTCCAGCCCGAACTCCCTCCGTACACTGTAACAGTCCTTGCGGTCCGACCGCTCGCCGGCAGGGGGCTAAAACTTGCTGGACACATTTCTATTACAAAATATATCCTATTATAAAGAATTCTATCGTAGGATCTTTATATGAATCATCTTATACAAGAATCTTTTTGATTTGAAAGCTAAGTAAGCAAAATCTTTAAGCATTAAGTATGAAATGTTTGGTTGGAAAGTATATATATTTTGTCAATGTATGTCCTCAATTCGTCGCTCGTGTGACGATGCGCGAATCCGTTGAATATATAAAATCGTTGAAAGTTGAATATGGATGACAGTAATTCAGCAAATATAGAAAAACAAACTTAACAAATCATGTGCTACTCGTATTAGTAGTTGTAAGTACCAGCATAACTTTCTTAATCATCGAAAATTAATAAGTACTGAAGCTAATATTTAACACGTGCGCTTATTTTTCTCAATAACATCAGATAATTTCAGGAATTATCTATTTAATGTCCCGCTTTAGACGTTACGAGTATATCTTTCGGGCGCCCCACGTTGACAGCATAATTTTGTCGTTTGGTGAATTAAAAGCATTTCTCCGTCACACTCGCCGCGCTGACCCTATTCTTTGATAATTCTCCCGATAAAGGAATAATGAAAATCAATACACAAGATAAATGTTATTAACGAATCAGTTTGTTTGTGAATATTGTTTCATTGCATGAATATTATTCATACATATAGTTGTAAATATACGAGTACATACAATGTCATGAGAAGTTAGCTTCATTATTAGCTTCAGCTTTAATTATTCTTTTAAATAACGTAAAAATACTAAAGATTATATTGTTGTTTATTATGTTTAATTACTTACTAGATGCTATAATATTATTTTTGGTGATTGTCGTTGCCAGCTGTTGAAATAGATTGTCATTCGTAGTTACCGAAAAGTTACACTACAGATTTATTGGGTTTATAATAGTGGGTATAGACACGTATTGCCATCTCTAACGGAGACAACACTATGTGTTAATACAAGTAAGTGCTACTGCGGGCGAAACTCACAGTAAGTCAGTGAATTAGTCAGAGAACTGTTGTAATGTTACAGTAGAGAAAAGTTGAAGTGACCAGTAATAGTAAAGTGTACCGCAGCCGATCGTGAGGCGGCGCCGGCGACCGCTTTGTATTCCGAGAAATGTGTTGAATCAACTTCATAGCGCGAGATGAATGGCGCGCGGTGAGCGCGGGGAGCGCGGTGATCGCGGGGGAGGTGACTCAGCGTCCTCGACGCCGCTACAAGCTTCATTCACGGGATTTGGCGCGCAAAAAGTTTTTCGGTCGCCTCTGGGAGTCGATAGATGGCTTTGTCTTTTTAATACATAATGTATGTCATTGATGAGAGAGACAATAAAGTTCGTTTCATTCTGACCTGGTAGAGAAGCGTTGTTGCAGGGCTGCTGGTGTGAGGAGGGTGCGGCGGCTGCCTGGTGTTCGGGCAGCGGCGCGGGCGGCGGGCGGCCGGTGGCGCTGGCGTGCGCGTGCGCAACATACGCGCTGAAGATGCGTGCCGATGCCGAGCATCCCTCGCACACCTACACATATTACATTTACTACTATCTACTTACAACTTCTTAGTTACACAAACAATCCCACTTTGACATCAGACTTCTAAAAAGTACTGACAAGGTAGTGCGGACGCTAACTTATCATTGTCTATCTTACATCACAGGTCGGTGTGCAACCCATGATTATAACACATTTATGTATGTTTGGTATTGTTATGATTTGCTATTTAATCACAAATTAAAGTAAGTATAATCGACAGTAAGGTCATTACACAATCCGATAGTTGGGTAACCTCGCGACACTCGACGTGGGGCTTTCCTTGTAATGTTCGTATGCGGGGCAATACACACTATGCAGTCGCACTTAATTGGTCCCACACTTAATATATTTTTCATAAATATAATTCACGCAGGTTGAGTTTTATCTATGTTTGTTCTATAACGGTTGAAACTTACATTAATTGAACGAAATATTATAAAAAAATGCACTAAAACATATTATAGTATACCAACGTTCTTGTCATCCAATCAGAATATCAACGCATCACGTCGTAATGTAGTTATATTATATTTTCACCAAAAAAACAAATATGATTCACAAATGACGATTTAAAAGGAATTCTTTGGCACTTTTGTACCTCGTATGTTGATGTTTTATGCATAAAGTTTGAAAGATTACAGATATTTTATAGCAAGTGAATTTGAACAATTTTCATCGGGATTCGATCAAAGAGTCGGTGCACAGCCTCGGTGGACATAGACATACCTGCAGCCAGGCGGCGTCGTCGAGTGCGAGCAGCTGCCGGCCTGTGCGCGGCAGCAGACGACGGCGCGGCGCCCGCACCTTGAACGTGCGCGCCGCCCAGCGCACGCAGCGCACCACGTCGCGTCTCTGCCACGTGCTCGGGTCTGAGTGCATTACACACATTTGGGTTTTTTTTTTCACAATACTACTCAATACTATTTACTAACAATCTGATTACTTGGAAAAGTAGTAACTGTAAAAAGTGGGAACTATGAATACACTTCATCCTACATGTTGGCTTGTAACGATGCCATAAGTTAAACAATGAAATATTGGTTGGCAATGAAATTATATTTTGTCAGATAGCTGGAGTTGAGAGAGAACTGAGAACTTACACACATACACACACTCTTCTTGCGCTTGCTAAATACATAATTACTAAGAATAATTTAGTTTTATGTTTCTCCCTTTTAATAAAATTAAAAATATAATACATAATTGTATACTGAACTATTCATAAAACTTTTCAAAAAGTATGTGATTATTAGAAAACATAGGATTTGGTCAGTAAACGGCACGGTAGGCCTAAAGTGCCGGCGCGGCGCTCCTGCGACACCAGTCGCACAAAGCTTTCATAAAAATAAAACAATGCACCTGTTGCATAAATATGGAAATATATAATAAAATACACTTACATTTAATTGTTAAATACCTAATATATTATTAATCATTAGAATATTGCTGAAGTTTGATGACAAAACATTTTATAACCTGAGTAAAGCACAGGAGCGCTGCGCTGTATATGCTGTCATTTTGTGTATTAAAACGTCTTAAATTGACTTAAATATACTTAAATATTTACACATCTCTAAAGAACTAAATGAAACTAACTCATATGTTTTCATCATCAATTGGTATTGTTTTATTATTGGTTACATGATTGCATGAAATTTTTCAATGAATAAATGTGCGCGCGGTTGGCAACTTCAAACTTTAAAATAAAAACTAATAATGCTTTATTTTATTCCAAAACCGTTGGAAAATTGTAAATAACCTGTTCGTAGTTATGTGACATTGTGCAGTTGGCTGTGGCCGCGAAGCCTGCATTTTGCATTTACGTTGGAGATTGTTTGTGCCACCATCCGGCGAGTGGAGGCTTTGCTGCACACGCCGCATCCTGACAACACGAAGCCTTACACAACAAACACACGGCACCGCCCACAAAATTACTGGGAGCAGTTGATATTCAACAGCTAAACTGAACAAATTGCACATTGTTTTAAATCTTATAATCACACTGATCCTGAATGAAAGCACTCGTTTTCGTACAGTTAAAGACGTATCACTATTGAAACTTTAGAAAGCACAGGAGTTTACCGGCGGGCACGGTGTCATCCCCCGAGTCGGAGCCGGACTCGTCGGAGGAGGAAGAGGCGCAGGGCGCGGGCTCCATAAAGGCATGGCTGGGTGCCAGTGTTGCGCCGGGTGCTGCGAGTGCTGCAAATGCGGCGCCGGGGCGCAGTGCGGCTCTCGCGGCTGCGGCTTCACTAGGGCCGGCGTCGGCGCCCCCACCTGCTTTTTATCGCGAGCGCCGCGTCACAGATGACGTCGAGATTCGTCACCGCGCCGCGCTCTGACGAGGAAAACGCTTTCCGAGAAGCTGCGCGCTCGCCACGCGCTCGGTTACACCGCGTCTAAGTATATCGCTGGCCGTGCCGCGCGCTCGCTGTGTCCTCGCCCCAGTCGCATCAGTCGCCTCGCACGGCTTCTCGCCCACTGATTGCGTTATCGTGCGAAAGTCGCTAATGAGCAACGCACCCCGAGCCGGCTGCAAATCCCATTATGGCTCTAGATTAACCAAAGTATACTCGTAAGGGAGAATGTGCGATTGCGACGATAGTATCCAGGAAACTGGCGGCCAAGCGATTGGGGTCCTTACGTTTTAGATCTACAACTCTTTTAGATTCAAAGAACGAGAAATTCTATTAGGATATTAACATTAATAAAGTAAACGATGTCACATTGAAGTTCACCATTGTTTCAAATATATTTAACAATAAAAAAATAATTAAAAAAGTGACCCTGAACCCTGATATAAAAGTATTGGTATTGTGAATTAGTGTAACTGATGTCTGTCTGTCTATCCGGCTCCGTTATAGACAAAAATATTCAAAAAATATGTTTTCTTTTGAATATTTATAAAAGTTGCAAAAACATGACTCAGGTTTATCGGCAGAGTATAGTTAAGATATAAACGTATCTGTCTTTGTTGGTACATATATTATAGTAAGTGCTTAAGATAAAGAAATTATATAAAACAAAAAAGTATCTCCTACAATGAAGAATCAAGAAATATTTATAAGTTTGTTTTCATGTTACGTGGCTTTGTACTAATTCCATTGTGGTAGTCTAGAACATTAACAATCTTCCTACTTCTTTGGGCTGTTTCTCGTTCACTAGAAATACTAAAGTAATTGTTTAATCTTACGCTTAAAGCTACAGGAATATTGCATATGCATCTAAATTCTATAGTAAACAGGATAGACTCAGTGCAATACGCCATACGTAAAGTATTATTCGCCGGTCACCGCTCACCTCATACGTGAATTCGCACGGGGAAATCCAGCGTTGCAGCCTCACTTCCTATTTGCACTTCGCAGCCAGCAGTGCGACTGCGACCTCGCGCGACTCTTGGTTTGTATAGCAGTCGCCGCCAGTAGTAATAGCGACTCTCTCTACATACAAGCCATTGGCGATTCAATAGTAAAGGCGGCGCGCAGCTAGAAACTCAGTGGAAATAAGATTTATGTAGGCTGCTAGAGCGCCCGTCACCGCGCCACCACATTCACGGCTTTATTTATTTTGTATAACCAGAGGAGTGGCATATTTATAAATAAATTGCACAAAAATTCATATACAGTGTCCGAACGAAAAAGTTATTGTTTTTGCTGAACTGTTTTGTACTTAGATAGCAGGCAATGATTAAATTTAAATAAGAAAATATCAAATTATTCTGACTGGTTCTGCTCTGGACTGGCTGCTAACTAAGATCTGATGACGAATCGATGTCTGAAATATCAACATAAATGCCCAAGAGACTAACTATTCTTAAAAACAATTAAAACCCACCAGTAGTTAGATCATACATGCTTTTAACTGCGCTGTCGTAAACTGATCACTGTTTATAATTGACGCTTTTAATACATTGGTTAATCTAACTAAAACATCTTCATTTAGCAGCCGCCCACCTCAGCCGACACCGCACAACACACCGCAACAGCCGACTGAACAGCTGACGTCGTCAACTGCGCGGCGCGGCGTGGCGGAGGCAACAGTACATCTGCTCCGTCATCACTCGTAACAACATTCCCTCGCAATAACAAACGCTAAACATTTTCAGCTCATGAATCAAACGCACACCTACTTGTTTCAAATCAGTCGTAGACATGCGTGGAACTTTCATCTATAAATAACTGCTTTATTATCCCAATGTTTACATACAGTTTCTATTAACAGATGTAGCGTACAGGAAAAGTTTACAACGAAGGAAAAAAATCGTTTATGACACCGAGCTTTGTCTTCTACCATTATAGCTCAATTTCTTGAGGCGAATTCTTTCTTATTTCAATCCAATCCCTAGTCAACATTAATCCGATTAGAAAATGTTCATTATTTTGTGCCATGCTTTTGGCTATCCTGTGAAAAATGGTGCTACGGACGATATGCTGCAATTGTTACAAGGAAATGTTGGTAATGTCCTCTCTATAACTACATTTTATATTTGAATCTCCTTGGAAGAACCGTACTTTTAACAAATATTGATGCCCTCTAGCGCCAGAACTAAGAATCTTTACGTAAAGGTAAGTTATAAGTTGGGCAAATCGTTATTGTTTTGGTCAAGGTATCAGTAATTTACCGGACACTAGTTCGCACTTGATCTGCACTAACTACTTCGAACAAAACATATAAATATGAATTACTTTTTTCGTGATGGTATTTGTTGACGCTATGATAAAAAGTCCTTTGCCTTATGATGTACATCTTTATTATCTGCTGTGTACATGTCACTGTCAAGTTCAACATTTCTTTAAAAGTGTTTACAATTTGTGTTGACGATAAATGGATTTAAATAGGACTTAAAAGAAGCAAAACACGAAAATGGTTATATATGGTGTTTATATAGTGAGCAAATCTGGCGGTTTGATTTATAACTATGATCACAACATACCGAAAGTAGAAACGGAAAAAACATTCGGCTATCCGCTGGATATAAAACTACAGTATGAGAATAAGAAAATCGTCGTTGTTTTCGGCCAAAGAGATGGAATAAATGGTAAATAATATGTTACTATTTCTATGCCACCAATTACGTAAATTTTTGTAAGCTCTTATGTTTCAAAGATATTTATCTATTTACATATATATGTACATTATAAAGTTTGAGTGTCTGTATGTGGTATTAAGAAAAATATTTCGTGCACATGATATTACTTATAAGGAATAACATTTTTTTTGTCTGACGACAATAGTTACGGCTAATTGCCCAACGGCTGTACCAAAATTCTTTAACATGACTTTTACAAGAAGGTGGTTACCATTTTATGAGAGTTACTTACAATATTTTTTCAATTCTATGTTGACAAAATCACAAGCAACCATTAGGATAAGAATAAATTAGTATAAAAATATAGAATTTTTGTTGAGAGAGAAAATATATAAATGTACATGTTTCAGTTGGACACATGCTGCTGTCTGTGAATGGATCACCGGTGGCCGGCCGCACCACCGAAGATGGCAGAGATGTCTTTGATCTCATTGAAGCTAAGGTATTATTGCTAAACTGCAAAGAGGACTGTTGCAATTAAACCAGAATTCAGATTGTAATAAACATGAGCTTATACATTGTAAAGATATTATCATGAATTCCAGGAGAATTACCCTCTAAGTTTGAAGTTTGGTCGCGCTAGAGCCACAACAAATGAGAAGATAGTGCTGGCTAGCATGTTCTATCCGCTGTTTGCATTGGCCAGCCAGCTCAGCCCCGTACCCAAGTCCTCCGGCATCGAGCTCCTCAATGCCGATACATTCAAGCTGGCCTGCTTCCAGACATTGACAGGTTGAGTGTTTAAATGTTTTATATATACACATTTACATATTGTAAAAAATTAGCGATATGTTACTTTCTATTTGTATGTTTGATTTGCTAATAGTGTCTTTAAATGTTGTTAGGTGTGAAGTTCATTGTGGTGACGGAGCCGAGCATGGCGGGCGCGGAGGCGGTGCTGAAGCGCATCTATGAGCTGTACTCAGACTATGCACTTAAAAACCCTTTCTACTCCCTTGAGATGCCCATCCGCTGTGAACTGTTTGACACCTCCCTGCATACCCTGCTCGAGCTGGTGGAGAAGTCAGGAACGGCCAACTTATAGTGAAATGGGCAGACCTGGACAGATTTGAGTTATTCCGCTGCGAATAAGCCACAATTCCTCATACACTTTATAGACTCCACATGTGATGTGATAAATGTGAGAAGAGGTCTCAGTTTCAGTATAACAATAATAGTTAAAATGTGTCTTGTGGTCACACATTCCCTGAGGACTTACCTCATGTAGAAAAGTTTAAAAAATCAGTCTCATTGAAGTTGTTGTAAACATAGTTCATCTATACTAATATTATAAAGAGAAAAGATAAGATTGTTTATGTTGAATGAGCTCCACAACAAGTGCACTCATTGGCTGCATGAAGATGTTCCCTAAAACATATATATATGTTTTAGGGAACATCTTCATGGTTAATATGTTGTATTATTAAAATTATGTTCAATATCATGTTGTTTTCAATGATCAAATTCCAATGAAGCAACATACTTAAGTTACCTTTGAATATGTTATTATCAGAAATTTATAAAACATGTATGCAAAAAGGTTCAAATAAAAATGTCTTCGTTTACAATAGAAAATTTATTGATATAATAATTATATTTATAACAATCGGATCGATGTGTCCCTCCCCACTCACCCCCTCGCCCCGCCCCTCCTCGCATCGGCCCTCTGTCCTCAGCGCTCAAAGAAAACAACCTTTTACATATTTGGACTTTACACAGTGGTTTGTTCTCCGAGCTAAAAACCGAATCAGCAACACTCTGCTCTTAATAAAGAAAAATAATGTTTCAATGTATTCTCTTTATGTGAGTGCGCACGTGTCCTACACAACTGGACAGAGGATGCCACAGATTCTTACCTAAACAATCAAAATTCTTGTTGTATTTAGACTTGACGTTATTTGACATTACGACGGATGTCGATTTCGGGTATTTACTACTTCAGGGACCTTCCCTCGCAGCACTACACTCATATCTCCAAAGATTAAATGGCTGCCAATTCAGTTCTGTCTTAACTTTTAAATAATTTAAGCCCGTGCGAGATTCAACGGCCGGTACAAAAATATAGCCTATCTCCGACTAACTTATTTCCGATCACTAAACTTAATTAATTTTAACCCAAATCTATGTCTAGCGCGCAGCAAGTGCCGCGGGGCACGACGCGGGGCGGGGCGGGGCGGCG